CCTCCCCCGCAGCCATACTTATTGTATTAATATAACTTACTATAATAGGGGGGAACACATATTCTTATATTTCACAGAAGAATGAATTTTCTGAAACCGTTTAAGTAGGAGAAAATAACACCGGTTTCGTGTTAAAGTTTTTTCATTGTAATAAAATAACAATGTTGTTAAATATTGGTTTATAAAAGTAAGAACTTAGATACTATTAAAATGTGGATTATTTAAAAGCTATACTAATTGGTATAAAATAAACCAAAAATAGTTTAATTAAAATTTAAACCTCGTGACATGCGCAGTAAATGAGAGGATTAAACGGTTTTAGACAATTCATTCTTCTTTAACATGTAAGAAATATGTGGTAAATATTCCTAGGGGGAGGTAAATATTCCTACGGGACCAGTTGTCCGGGGGGCAACTATCTGGGCGGTAGTTGCCATAAAACCATTCCTTATAGTAACGTTTTGAAATAGGCTTATGTATTATAACACTATTGATTTGGCTTTTATCCGCCGGAGTTGTCGTGCGTTTGTTTTAAAGCAAAACCACAATGGGCTATGTGTTGTGTTTACACGAGGAATCGAACCTCAGATTTTAGAAACAGCGGGGACATTTGTATGGGCTTAACACGTGGTTTAACTTGTTTGCTATTTAAAGATTTGCTATACATTTTCTTTCTCTCGGAATTAGCGTCGACGACCGTGGCTCTTAACCTCTCGTTTTTCTTCGCTGTCTGCGTCAACTTTTCTTATTCAATTTTTAAATCTCCGTTTCATTTTCTTATGTCATCGAACCGAGTGTGTCTTCTGCCTGCCTCTCGCTCTTCCTCCTTCTACTAATCTTCCCTCGGATCTAATTCATTTTCTTACATATATCCAGCAGTTGTCGTCATCATTAGTTGTCCTTCGCATGTATCTGACCTTCATCATTCGTCTATAACATCACATGAAACATCTATAACTTCTGTCCAGCTGTCGTTTTGTTTCAGTAGACAGGATTTAGGTTTCCACCTCGCACAGCAGGTCTGACGATATATAACAGAAATTAATAAATACCCTATAACCCGAGCGATTTCGTAAGGTGGGCCTTTCTTCTTCTTTCTAAAGCGCTCGGGTTATAGGGTTTTTTATTCATTTCTATCAAGACTTCTCGAACCTACGTGTTTTTCTAACATCATGAATATATGTATATATATATAAACAGAAATATTTTGATGTGAATATTTAGAAAAAAAAATTATATATATATATACATCCATCTATCTATCCAACAGCCTCAATGGTACGTCTGAAGGCTTATAAGGTTCAAAATCGGGTTTCGATACTCTTGATGGGCACGGCACATATAGCCCATCGTGTATCTTTGTGTTTAACAATAAACAAACAAACTATTCAACAGACACGGGATAAGATTTGAAAAAAATTACAATAACGTGAAATAAATAAATTTACAGAAACATTAACGACAGGGTGCGCTGTTTCTTAATATCTGAAACTTCTAATTTAAAAAAAAAACATATGCGTTTGATTTAGTTATCTCTTTTTCCACTACCGCCTACTGGAGAAATAAATACGCTGTCAATTATTACTTGAACATAGCGAACTATAATTTAATCTTTGTGCTGGAACATTCGACGATATCGTGGCAACAAAAGGTATAACTTCTCTTTTTACTCCTCTTTCTTTGTAAAATTTCAATTTCATTTCTCGAAAGTGAATTAATCAGTTAGTAACTATGATTATATGTCATAAAACATTTGTATTATTTTAACATTATTCAGAGAAATTAAATTATCGCGGAAATATCTGTTCAAACCTTTTTCTGAGACTCAGGGTTGAATTCCGTGTAACGTATTGATATTTCTACTGGAGTATCTGAGAATATCGTAGGATATGAGGCTTGCGCATGCGTACTTCTTTTTTTTTGTGTGTGTGATTGCACATGCGCACTTCAATGACTTTTTTTTTTCTTTCAGATTAGCTCATTGCTTTATAGACAGACGGGATAACTGATGTGCTGTTTCCTTCTTACCATTTACTTTTCATCAATTTTTTGTTCTCAAGATAAACTTGACAGATTTAAGACTACTGGAAAAAAAAATAAACTTTCCGCAACTGAGGGAGTTGCTGGTGCCCCGAATAATTACATGAAACATCTGATTTCTTTATGATAATATGTACCTCTGTATCGATAAATCAATATGGAGTCCCTCGTCTTCTCTGCCGATGCTGTGATGACGCTAGAAATTATATAGTAAGAGGGAACTGGAAGTTATGTGCCTGTGACAATAAAAGTCGTACAGAGACGTTGACGTAGGAATTAAAGAACATATATTAGTTAATGATGAAAGTCTTAGTTTATAAAATATTAGAGAATAGAAGCGCGTGTTTAAGTGAGCAATGACCAATCGATGATCACATATCATGTTCACTATCCATTTCGACCAATCATTGATCACCTAACACTGGAGGGAAACAACTCAGTGGCTATTCTTCGATAACATATTAACATAAGCAAAACGCGTTCATTCTCTTTCAGATTTTATGTATCTTAATTTCGTAAGAGCTAGAAATCTTTCTTAATTGAATCTAAGGCTGGATTTCAAATGAAAAGTAAAGCTTTACGCTTATCTATCAAGTGTCTTAAGATTTGATTGGTTCAAATGAAAAGTAAAGCTTTACGCTTATCTATCAATGTTTCTTGAGATTTGATTGTTCAAATGAAAAGTAAAGATTTACGCTTATCTATCAATGTGTCTTGAGATTTGATTGGTTCAAATGAAAAGTAAAGCTGTACACCTATATATCAATGTGTCTTGAGATTTGATTGGTTCAAATGAAAAGTAAAGCTGCACACCTATTTATCAATGTGTCTTGAGATGTGATTGGTTCAAATGAAAAGCAAAGCTGTACACCTATATATCAATGTGTCTTGAGATTTGATTGGTTCACATGAAAAGTAAAGCTGTACACCTATTTATCAATGTGTCTTGAGATGTGATTGGTTCAAATGAAATGTAAAGCTGTACGCCTATCTATCAATGTGTCTTGAGATGTGATTGGTTTATTTCTCGACAAATATATCATTTTTTATTGTGGAAAAAGAACAAAACATATAGTATACAGTCCACTACTATATAAATAAGTATTGTTTTCTTTCGTTCTTGTTCAAGGTTACTGATGATGGGTGGAATTTCCCGAAATCTATCACATCTATTGGTGAATTAAATGAAAGCTCGTGTTTCTTATATATTTACTTTTGATATTCGACCAAAAAATTTTAGATAAAAATTACTCGATTAATTTTTTTTGCGATAACTCAAAAAACACAAACAAACTACACTTTAAGGTTAAAAGTATGCTCAACTATTACCAGAGGGCGTTTCAGAGAAAAACAAAACTGTCTACATCTAGCGTCTAAAGTTAATTTCACAATCTAGACAAATACCTGTTAAATTAATACACACACACATATATTTAGTTTTATCATGAAAAATCCGCTAGAGGCGTTGTAATCGCACAACGTGATTTTCAGTTCAATAAAATAACGAAAATTGAAAAGAAATAAAAAAATCCACCACCTATACATGGCATTGTAGACTTCCGATCTACCAGTACGCAGGTTTGCACAGGTGCTTTAGTTTAATAAACCTTCGAACTCACTTCGTTCGAGCAGGTCAATCCGGTTCATTGACATGAAAAACATAGGTCTGTACATAATTAGTTGATTCTGTTTTTATCAGTTATTTTTTTTTACCCGCTGAATGAAATCCTGTCCAAAACTGCACAGCGCCTTGTAGCTTGCGGAATCAGAGATCGATTGACAGATTTTTTTTTGTGTGTGTGTGATATGTAAATGTGATCGATCACAGGTGCTGACGTCACGAGGAACGTGGTAACACATTTTAACTTACTTAAATCGTTTTACATGTCATCTTATAAGTTTCTGTTTTGAACGGTTTTAAACTGAAAGTGTTCCAAAGTGTCGACATTTTCTTGCAGTAAATCTTTGGTAACGTTTGAAGACAAGAGAGTCAGTTCCTTATAACTTTAGCTAGAAAGACGATACAAATCGTTATTATATATCTAATTATATAAATAGAAAATCGTAACGAAGGTAAATAAACAGATCTAGATAGGAAGATAGACGAGCACACTGATAGATATGTAGATAACTACACACAGAGATATATAGATAAACACACATATAAATATGTAGATAAACGCAAAGATAGACAGATAAATAGAGAGATAGATGGGAGACGGACAGATAGATAGATAAATACGCAGATAGACAGATAAATAGATAGATGCAGATAGATAAATAGCAAGATAGAAAGGGAGATAAATAGATAGATACAGATAGATAGAAAGAGAGATAAATAGATAGATACAGATAGATAGAAAGAGAGATAAATAGATAGATACAGCTAGATAGAAAGGGAGATAAATAGATAGATACAGCTAGATAGAAAGAGAGATAAA